CTAGTAGCAATAGGCTATAGAGATTGTATGTTTTCCTTTTTGAGGTGTTTTCTTCCATCCACTGTGAGTGTATCCTTGTTTCATCAGTTTAATGTGTGTACATTGGCATCACAGCGATAATGATAATAGCCTCAAAACATAGATTAATGTGCTGGGTAGATCGGTGATGTGTAGAAAGTTACATTTTGGGATGGCTCAATAGCCACAGCAATAATAAAATATATTATTTCTATTACTATTCTTATTTTTATTCTTATAGAAGAATTATATAGCGGCAACAGTTTGCCGGAGGAGTTAGACGGCCCTGCTGGTTAGAATTTACAATCTAAAAGTTTCTCATTTTTGCAAATCAGTTGAAATAATAAGAAACAAGTTTTGTTTCAAGTCCTCATTGACAGGCTGTTGTCTGTGACCTTCTTTAATGTGAACCTGTACTTTTGTTCAGGCAGGGCAAAGCAACAGGCTCACTTAAATTTCCCACTGTCCGAAGCCAATTATGTCCTTCCCCAATCACCAAGCACCAGAGCTATTATTGTGGGAACAATGAGAATGAGTCACTTGCTCCCCAGTACCCGGAAGTACCAAGTATTTTTGTTAATTCTTGGTGATCAAATGGACCAACAGGGAGAGAAATGCAAGGTGCGGGTTAGAGGTGAGTGAAGATGTCCTGCTGTGAAAGGAGTAAGTTAGGTGAACTCGTTGCTTTGTCCTAGTTTACTAATCACACAAGGAGTTTTTTTTTAACATTTCCAACTCTTCTGTACAGTAGAAGAGAGAGATCAAAAGACCATTGTGAGCTGTTAAAACCATCACGCAAAACTCACAACGGCCTTAAACACCATGCTCTTTAACCAAGAAAAGGCTCCAATCTGCCAAGTGTGACAGCAGTTATGCCCAAGAATAAGTGTTTTGTATTCAGTTGTAACTACTGATTTCCTTCTTAATCACATACCAAAAATACATTTTTAAATAGAAGTACATGTTTACAACAGCAGAGAAATTTAATACCAGACTTTTGGCATTGAGCAATCTAGTAATTCCCTTCTGTAGGCACTGTTTGTAGATATTATGTACTTAAAAAATGAGTTCAACATCTGGTCCACAAAGCATCCTTGTACCATTATTCAATACTGAAATATGAATCAGATCCAACAAATGATAGGGTTTGTGTGATACAAGAGAGGCATTGAGAAGCACATGAAGTCTTCAATGTGCCGGAATCAGATTACTCTACCCGGTTTGACCAAGCTTACAGTGATTGTCTTGTTTTGACTTATACATTTTTGAGGTTTTCATGATGTTTCTGAATTTTAGCTCTAATACATAAGAAGATGGTAATGCAGTGAGTGGGAGTAGCAAGCCAGAAGACCTGACCTTGGCAAATGCATGTACCAAATAAATATTGGAAAATCAAAATGACAAGCACCTCACTGGACACCAAGATTCCTTAGGAATGGCATACATCACAAAGCAGGCCTTCATAGAAGCAAAATCTTTTAATGAGGAACTGGGGCCATGTGTTTCGGGGGATGAGAACCCCTATTTTCAGGACTATTGCCAGCTGGAACACTCAAGACCTCCATGAGAGCACTATTTATGTCTAATGAGTTAATATATTAAAGCTTTTACTGCCAGTTCTCCAGATTTCTTTATCTCTATTGCCAACAAAAGCCCTGAGGAAGGAGGTGCTCCCCCTCAACATGAGTTGGCTGTATTCTTATTAAAGGAATTAGCTTCTACAAATGCTCTCTTTGTGACTTCTTAGACTATTCCTAAACAACCTCATTGGGATTAGAGAGACTTCATTTTGACCTTATTTGCATGACTTCATCAACAGTCTAAACTTATTCATGAGCCTGGTGTTACAACACAGTTTTTAGACAGATCATAAATAATTATTTTATAGTATTATATAGAGGGCTCATTCACATGTGTGTTGATTACGAAGAACAAAGCAATGCTCATTAACACGCCTATAGCATTTACCATGTGTAAGATGTTTTTTCGTTGCGTTTATGAAATGTTAAAAAACTTCCAGAATGCTTGATAAATGCTCATGGAAGTGTTGTTTTTCTGGTGGGAAGTGCATAAAGTGATGTAGAGGAAAAATTCGACTTTGAGGTGAGGTTAGGTTGTGGTGTGATAGCAGACATTTTTGTGGATTCTCTACAAGATGGATTTGTGTGCTTTGATCTCTGATACTTGCAGTGGTGTCCCTAGGGGGGTGCGGGCCGCACCGTGTGTCACCATCACAGGGGGTGCAGGAGCAGGATGCCAGCAGAGCTTCTGGGCTCTGTGAAGGTCCTGGCCAGTTATTGGGGTGATCCCGGATTCCAGTGACAGCTACTCCTGGTGTAGGGGTAAAATGAGTATCCCGGATCCGTGAAAATATGTATCCCCTGAAACAACTGCACATGTGACAGTTTCAGGCTGAAGAAGCCGATCTCCGACTTTAGCACAGAGCTGCCACAGTTAACCCCTTACAGGCTGCAAACCGCTGAAACTGATCCTGCGGATCACTACGGGTTGCAAGATCAGTTAACCCCGTATAGGTTCAATGATTTTGGTGTACATTTATGACGAAATTTGATTTTTTTAATTTTTTTTACTGGACATGTTTAATAGCAAAAAGTCAAAAATATATTTTTTTCTCAAATTTGTCGGGCTTTTTTTTTTATAGCGCAAAAAAAAAAAAAAAATCGCACAGGCGATCAAATACCACCAAAAGAAAGCTCAATTCCTGGGAAAAAAAGGACATACATTTCATTTGGGTGCAGCATTGCATGACTGCGCAATTGTCAATTAAAGTAATGGAGCACCTTAACGCAAAAAATGGCCTGGTCAGGAAGGGGGGTAAATCCTGTGGAGTGCAAGTGGTTACAGTTTATCTATACCCAACACTTTTTTTTAGTTTTGGATAGAGTGGGAAAGGGATGGAACTACAGTCGGAGGCAATATTAGAAAAATTCCTTCACTACCTGTCTGGTAAAAAGGTTGTCCCGTGGACAAAAAGTGAGGCTAAAACTTTCTAACAACTGCACAAGCAAGTAAAAATGTTTGTTTTTTTAATATTATGTAGGAGAATGCTGTACATTGTCAGCTTTTTATTGTCTGTTTCCCTCATGCTGATTCCCCCTCACGTCTGACATGATAGTAGGCTGTCCCCAGAACAAAAATTAGGGGAAAATTCTCTATCAGAGCCCCATACAATTGAAAGAGGTTCTGGCCTTTACCTATTGTATCCAAAACTAAAACTAAAAGTATTGGGTATACATACACTTTAAAAACCTTTCTTTGTGAAAAATATGTCTTTAGTTCTCTGCGTAGGATCTCGATGTCACCAACTGAAACTATAAATAAAAATTCCTGTATTTTTCAGTTTGAAATAACAATAGAACAGTACAGGAGTACCAAAGTATGTATCAAAGTGAATTGTCTAAATAGGCAAGATTTATACATAGGCGACAATAAGAAAACAAACATAAAAGAATTGAGATATGAGGGAAAAAAAGGGCGAAAGGAAGTAGTAACACTATAGTCAGTTCTAATGCAATTTCCTCATATCCCTCTGGGGGATGGAGCACCTATGCAGTCTAGATTATATTCTTTAACCCTGAGTAAGGGTCCAAAACGCGGAGGAAGTATACACCCGTCTCGGAAATCCGCCATGCCTCCAATCTAATGACAACCTTAAGTGTCCGGTACCTGCAGGTAGAATAACCAGGGATGCCATTTTTTTTCTAACGGGTTGTTTATCCCACTAGTGTTTTGTGTAGCATAAGCCAACTCAGTTTCCATTTCATTAAAGCAATTCTAAAGGTTACTTTTGTTTTGTAAAATACCAAACATGTCTATACTTACCTGCTGTGTGCACTGGTTTTGCACAGACCAGCCTGAATCCTCCTTTTCTCAGGTCCCCCGCAGACTATCCTGGCCCCTCTCTCTCTGAATTCGGGTGCCCCACAGCAAGTAGCTTCTTATGGGGGTACCGGCTGCTCCATGTGTCCATTCACACACAGAGCTGTGGCTTTGCCATGCCCCTCTCTCCTCATTGGCTGACTGGCTGTGATTGACAGTGGCAGGAGCCAATGGCTCCCACTTGATGTCTCAGTGAATGAGGAGGCAGAGACCTGGGATAGCTGAGGCTGTCATTCACATCACTGGATCGTGATGAGGCTCAGGTAACTATTGAGGGGGCTGGGGGAACTGCTGCACACAGAAGGTTTTTTTACCTTCAGCCTTTACAACCACTTTAAGGCCAAATCAATCACGGGGCTTTTACAAGCAGTAGAAATAGCTATTTTGGAGGGCAGGAACATAAAGTATATCAAGGTCTGCATGGATCTCAGGACATTGTCTACAGGTTCATTGAGCAACATGGTCCGAAGTTCTCTGGGAACCATAATTACTGAGTAGGTTAATGAATGAACCCGTATTAAAAATCACCAGAGCTTGGGACAGGTCCACCACATATGGAGAGCAGAGCCAGCTTGGCCACAGCCCCTAAAACTGGAGAGAGACAAACTTGGGGACATTTTAGAAAGACGCTTGGGTATTAAGCACATATCCTGCTTTAATAAGGTCTAGTTCACACTGGCTTTGAAAGAGTTTTTAATGCTCCTCAAACGCCTATGCACACAGTGCTGTTCACATTATCAAAACATGAAGCATTAGCGTCACATTGCTTCAAAATCGAAGCTTCACGTTGAGTCAGGAGGAGTTTGAAGCCATTCAAAGCCTCCCATTCAAGTCTATGGTGATGCTCCTCAATCACCCTGGCAGGCGATTGCGAGGCATTTGCGGTGCGGCTGTGGAGCGTTAATAACATTACAATTTATTTATAGTGTGGTGTGGTTTTAAAGCTTGTCAATTGCTCATAAAAGACTTCAAAGCTGCACATAGGGCATTTGGGGAGCGTTTTGTAACACTTGGAAACAGCCAACCTAAAGATCAAATAACGCTTGTCTAACGCCTATACTAAAGCTCTTTAACGCCTGTCTAAGGTCTATACCAAAGCTCATTAATGCCTGTCTAATGCCCATACCAAAGCTCATTAACACCTGTCTAACGCCCATACTAAAGCTCATTAATGCCTGTTTAAGGTTCATACTAAAGCTCATAAACGCCTGTCTAATGCCCATACCAAAGCTCATTAACGCCTGTCTAATGCCCATACCAAAGCTCATTAACGCTTGTCTAATGCCCATACCAAAGCTCATTAACGCCTGTCTAATGCCCATAAAGTCCATACCAAAGCTCATCAATGCCTGTCTAACGCCCATACTATAGCTCATTAATGCCTGTTTAATGCCCATACTAAAGCTCATAAACACCTGTCTAACGCCCATACTAAAGCTATAGGAGAGTTTGGTAAGAGTTAGAAATTTAATCAAGTGTGGACAAGCCCTTAGGGATACATTCATTATGCCCTTGTGAAATTCCTGTATTTCTGTATAAACATGTTATATCTGAAGAGGTACTGTCAGGCCTTAATGATTAATGTTTTGCATATTGGCTTGTGAATTGTATATACTATAATATTAGGCTTTCATTGTGTTCTTTGTTTTGCTGTGAAATAGTTTTGTATTAACAACGTTTAGAGCTGGCCCAGAGGACAAACATATTTCCATATACTGTCTATCTTCTATAGCAGGGGTCTCCAAACTTTCTAAACAAAGGGCCAGTTTACTGTCTTTCAGATTGTAGGGGGCCGGTCTGTGGCCATTGAGAGTTGCGATTGTCCTGGTGTCAGTGGGAGTAAACCATGCATCTTTGCTATTAGGAGGAGGAATAGTGCCCCATTGCTGGTGTCAGTGGGAGGAATAGTGCCATATCATTGGTGTCAGTTTGACTGCCTCATCATTGGGGTCAGTGGGAGGAATAGTGGCCTGCTGGTGTTAGTGGGAGAAATAGGGCGCCACTGTTGGTGTCAATGAGCCCCATTGCTAATGTCAGTAATGGGAATTATGCCCCATTGTTGGTGTCAGTGGGAGAAATAGTGTCTTGTATCAGTGGGACGAAAAGTGCCTCAGGAGCCAGATAAAGGCAAGCAAAGGGCTGCATCTGGCCCCCAGGCCGCAGTTTGGAGACCACTGTTCTATAGTAATAGTACATGCAAGATGCAGAACTGAATGTGATATTGGCCCTCAGTTTTTTTTTATGAACAAACAGCAGGTAATTTAATCACTTATTGAGTATGCAGCTTCTTAATCTTTTAAAATATAACTGAAGGCAAAACTTTTATATTAGTTCTGGACAAAGTGGAGAGGAATTAGAATCTATTAGGTTTTTATTGCCGTCAGTACCGCCATTAGGGAGATTCACCCTCTCTATTTGTCCTGTTTACCAATATCATCAAAATTGAAGGTAAAGAAAACCCCAAATTTTAAGTTGTCCCCAGAAAAGAAAGAGAGGGTAAAATTTACAATGGGGACACTAGTTCCCAAAGGAATCCCTTAATTTGCGGGGATTATCAATCACTGCCTGTTTGACTATGGGACACAGATGGCAAAAAATAAACTGACAGGGGTTGCAATCCTTTCTTACTCTATCCAAAATGAGACAAAATAAGTTTTGCCCATAACTCTACTTTAGTCTTTGCCTACGTTCCAGTTAGGTAGCTACCATGGCTGCAACTGCAGATTTCCTGTTTCTCCAGTTGCTCCTTTCTCCTGCAGAATTCTGTGGAGTCACCCTGCATGCAGGGACTAGAGTTGTGTCTCCCTACACTGTGTGCATCAATATTAACAAAGAACCCCTTAGTCTAGGATGATAGGGCACTGCCATATCCCTCCTTCCTTTGCCCTCCTTCCTTCTGCAAGCTAACAGGCTGGAGACTGCACTGTCTACTGTTAACACTTTCCTGCGTACACCAGAAGTTCAGGAAAGCAGCACTGAGAACATGAGCCAGCAGCATTGAAAGTTGTAAACTGCTTGGGTAGAATTTTAACAAATAGTTTACTGGGACATATTTATTCTATTGTCCACAATGTACATACAGTATATACTGTATATATATATATATATATATATATATATATATATATGCCATTCACAGCCATGGCTGTCAATCACAGGGTCCCGACCAGTGCTTACTTGCCAGCGCCCAGTGATTCACGAGCATCTCCAACAGGGAGAACTGTTTATAAACAAAACAGTTCTCCTCCCTGTCAGCTCGTGCACACTGCTTTGGATGGCTGTACACAGTGTTTAATGAGGGTTTAATGTTACTTTAAAATAGTCAAGCACTCTTATAAGAAAATAAAAGATTACAGGAATCTCAAAAAATCTAAATGTTCTTAATGTTGTATTCAAGGTTATTTCGAGATTTGCTTTTATTCTTTGATACAATCCAGTTCTTAATAGATGCTGTGTTTCTGATTTCTATTATTGGGAACTAAATTTATTTACAGCAATAATAAGTGTAGCACTACCCTCTTAGTCGCTAAGTTTTTGGGTCCCCCTACGGTCCTGCACAGCCAGGCAACAGACATCTCCACACTTGCACACTGAGACAGTAACCAATCCTTAGGCTTGTTTTTGTGGTTTTATTAAGGGTATTGAACTTGGTTGGGGATGAGGGATACATGGGATGCCCAAGGAACAAACTACCGTATTTTTTGCTCCATAAGACACACTTTTTTCCCCCAAAAAAGGGAGGAAAATGCCAGTGTGTCTTATGGAGCGAATATGGAGTGGCCGGTCCGGTATTTCCGCTGCTGCCACCGTGTCAGAATACCGGGCCGGCCGCTCAGCTCTTCTTTGCAGCAGAACCTTACCTGTTCCTTAGTCCAGCGCTGTACAGTCTTCCAGCGCTAGCATCTTCCCACGCCGGCATCTGTGACAGCCGGGTACCCACTGCGCATGCGCGAGAAGTGCTTTGTGAATGATCCGGCATCTTCTGGGACACATGCAGGTCCCAGAAGACACCGGGCCATTCACAAAGCGCAGCACTTCTCGTGCATGCACAGTGGGCACCCGACTGTCACAGCCGGGTGTCCACACTAAAAGGAGGACAACTCCACGGTGGGAGCGGGTACCTGTCAAATTCAGGAACCCGCTCCCCCTCCCTCCCCAAAGGTCCGCAATCTCTTGGTCATCCCCTGTACTGTCTGCAGTCTCTGGTCATCCTCTGTACTGTCTGCAGTCTCTGGTCATCCTCTGTATTGTCTGCAGTCTCTTGATCATCCCTGTACTGTCTGCAGTCTCTTGATCATCCCTGTACTGTCTGCAGTCTCTGGTCATCTCCTGTACAGTGTCTGCAATATCTGGTCATCTGTACTGTGTCTGCAGTCTCTGGTCATTCCCTGTACTGTGTCCGCAGTCTCTGGTCATCTCCTGTACTGTGTCCGTAATCTCTGGTCATTCCCTGTACTGTGTCCGCAGTCTCTGGTCATCTCCTGTACTGTGTCCGCAGTCTCTGGTCATTCCTGTACTGTGTCCGCAGTCTCTGGTCATCTCCTGTACTATGTCCGCAGTCTCTGGTCATCTCCTGTACCATGTCCGCAGTCTCTGGTCATCTCCTGTACTATGTCCGCAGTCTCTAGTCATCTCCTGTACTATGTCCGCAGTCTCTGGTCATCTCCTGTACTATGTCCGCAGTACCTGGTCATCTCCTGTGCTGTGTCTTATGGTCAGGTGCATCTTATGGAGTGAAAAATACGGTATGTACAAGTCTAAGGACAGGAATAAAAATCTGTCTTTTCTTTGAGAGCACTCCTGCTCTATAGTGTACCTCCTCAGACCCCAGATGAATCTTCTTCACCCAGCAGTACTAAGGGTATTCCCTGGTCAAGGGGATCCAGAAGCTGCCTAAGTGCAAACAGCCCCAGCTGAGGAGCTATTTGGGTTCTCCACCTGACTGCCCTGTCCCCTTATCCGTCTCAGGGGGTGTAACAGGGAGGTTACTCACACTGTCCTTCCTGACAGCTTTATGGGTTGGTGGTTGCCTTCAGGCATTCTGCTGGGCTAGCGCCTTCCCTGCTGCACAGGCTGTCCCTCTTAGTAGACGGTGGCACAGTGGAGGTCCCCTCTATCAACACCTACCTGTAGCTAGGCCCCTTCCTTGGGCCCCCTCCCAAGCTCCATACTCCAGCCTTCTACTCCATCTTCCACTGACCACTTCCTGCTGATCAGGCCCAGTTACATCTAAGGGTGGTCCTGACCCCAGGTGACCTGGCAACTCATAGCCAGGCTGACTCATACTTCTACCTAAAAACCTAGTCTAGCTCCCCCTGGCTAACTAGAGGGGCACTACATAAGTTTGCAGCACAGAAGCCTTCAACTTACAGGACATATGCCTACGATTTAGAAAAACATTGTTTTGCTGATAACCTAGATTCTGAACTTGTTTTGCTGAGAATTCAGATTTAGTAAAACTTGTTTTGCTGATAACCTAGATTCTGAACTTGTTTTGCTGATAACCTAGATTCTGAACTTGTTTTGCTGATAATTCAGATTTAGTAAAACTTGTTTTGCTGATAACTTACTACTCACACCTGAAATACCGTTAATCGAACTAATATATTTTTCCAGTGAGAGCCGGTTCACACATATGTGAATTGGATGCGTTTTGAACTGCATCCAGTTCTCATGACAAGTGAAAGATCACTGCTTTCCATTGTGCCTGTTTCACATATTTTCGGTGCAGCCAGAGTGCGGATTCAGTGTGAACTGAAAAAGAGTCCTGTCAGTTGTGTATTTTTTAACAGAATTAACAAATGTGGCTGTATTTTCTACATTTGAGCCTAGGTTCACACTATGGATCGCATGTGAATCGCACAGGAACCTCACCCCATTCCTATGCAATTTGAGCCCATTCATCCTGATTGGCTCATATCACCTGCAGCATTTTTGGGACCGTTCTTGAAATGGATCCCATGGTCGTTTTGTACCATGCAATCCGTTTCAGGCAAATGCACTGCCTCTGTGACCTGATTTTGGGGTGTTGTTAACTTTGAATTGACGTCCGCATCAGATCGCAAAACATTGCTTGCACTGCGGTGCGGGAAATTCACAGGGAGTGCAGCATTGCCCGCACAGCAGAAGTGTGAATCGGGGCTTATGGACACTTCCAACAGATGCTACTAGTGCTAGGGAATGTACTAGCCAACATGGAAATTTACTGTATACATATCAGTGTGATATGATGTTTTAAGTGAGATTCTGAGATTTTCCATATTTTTGTTTCAAAAAGATTGAGAAGTTCTTTGATCTGACACAATGGGAACAAGATATTGTTTTCCCTTTCCCTTTTTACAATAAGCATTTGATTTTTAGACAGATTGCAAACAACATTGTAACAGATGGAAATCGTTTTTTTATTTGCTGAAGGGATAGGCTGTCTAAACAATGAACA